TAAGCTCAGGAAGTAAATACCTCAAAATAGCTTCAGAAAGTCCCTGAAACCGACCAAATTCACGAGGCTTCTCCCTCCCCAACTCCATAAAGCAACGAGGACTATTGGGAGATCTCTCATTCAAGTTGCCTGGAAGCAGAGACCAGCTGAGTTGTGTGGAAAAGGCTTATACAAACTGAGCCACTGGAAAGGATACTCTGTAACCTGCTGAACTGCCTGAAAACTTAGCAGTGTGCCCCAAGTTTCCAGTTTTTGTGAGCTGTCACCCACACTGGCTGAGCTTTGGTCTTTTTTTTTAATATTTATTTATTTATTATGTATACAGCATCCCTTCCATGTATGCTTGCAGGCCAGAAGAGGGCACCAGATCTCTTTATAGATGGCCATGAGCCACCATGTGGTTGCTGGGAATTCAACTCAGGACCTCTGGAAGAACAGTCAGTGCTCTTAACCTCTGAGCTTTTGTCTTTGACTCACCTCTGCTTCTGTAACACCTCACCAACTGTTCTGTCAGGGTTACTACTGCTATGATGAACACCATGACCAGAAACAAGTTGGGGAGCAAAGACTTCATTTGACTTATGCCTCCACATGGTAGTCCATCACTAAAGGAAGTCAGGGTAGGAACTCAAGTAGAGATGGAACCTGGAGGCAAGAGCTGGAGGGTGATGCTTAGCGACTTACTCCCAGTGACTTCCTCAGCTGACTCTCTTACAGAATACAGGACTACTAGCCCAAGGTGCCCTATAGGCTTGCTTTCTGATATTATGGAGACATTTTCCTGAAGTTCTCCACACTCCAATAATCTAGCTTGTATCATGTTGACATAAATCTAGCCAACAAAGCAATATTTCTGTAAGTATCTCCAATAAAACTCATTGGTTCAGCAAGTTGGTCTTTGGTGGTGTCTGTCCTTTGTCATAAGTTCCCTATCTGGGGCAAGGAGATGTTTGTCTATATCTCCCCAGGAATATTGCCAGACAACAATTGAACAAACAAAAAATTTGAAACTTGAATTTATGAATACCGCTAAGTTTATACAAAAATAGCATTATCAGCTGAGGAGGAGTGGTGCACACCTTTTATCCCAGCACTCGGGATCCAGAGACAGGTGGATGTCTGTGAGTTTGAGGCCAGCCTGGTCTACAGGGCAAGTTTCAGAAGAGGCTCCAAAGCTACAGAGAAACCCTGTCACAAACCCCTACCTGCCAAGAGCATTATCATATGATTAAAAGCATTCTTCAAATGATTGGAGAAAAGACCAATAAAGGAGGAGATTCTGAGATGGCCAAAAGAAAATGCTACCTAGAATGGAAGGCGACCAGGGCCGTATCTCTTGACTATGACAGTTAGACGAACTTGAGGCCTCAGGGACACGTTCAGGGAAGACTAGCATGGAAAGCAAACTTTAGGAAACTGTGAAGCACAGGTGGTAATATGCAACAGTCAGTGCATACTTCCCCACTTTTAGAAACTTGGCTGTAAACACCGTATAGAGTTGTGGCTATTTTTAATTTTTTTGGTAACCAAGTGGTTATTTGTTTTAACAGGGGAAGCACTGTGTATGTTTCAGATAAGACTCCCAAGGACTGAGGAAGGAAAGATACAGGAGGGCTGGAGTCGTGGCTGCACATGCAACTCAGTGATGATGCCTAGCAAGTAGGAGGCTGTGGGTTTTGTCTACAGCCCTGCCAGTTCAGCGACCTGACACCAGTCTGTAATCTTAGCACTAAGCACTCAGGAGGCAGAAGTAGGAGGACAGGAAGTTCATAATCACCCTCAGCAATCGAGGGAGCTTGAGGTAACCTGGACTAAACAAAACCCTGTCTCAAAACAAAAACAACCCCCCCCCAAACTGTAAAATTCACCCAAAGAAAAACAAAAACATGAAAGAAAAGAAAAGAAAAGAAAAGAGGTAAAGATATTGCAAGAAAAGGGGAGGGATAGTTGGCCATAACTCCTTAAAGTGGAAAAGAGTTAAATCTAGATACACATGCTCCAGGGTAAGGACTTCCTGGCACAACCACCTGCCTTGGGACCATCTCTGCTACTCAGGTTTAAAGACAAGCAGAGGCTGAAGTTTCTTTATAATATTGCAGATGAAAAGCATCCTGAATACTTGATACACACATCGGCAAAGACTGAGTTTGTTCTGAAATGACTGTCACTCTGAACCTTGGTGTCTGTGTTTATGGTGAACGCACATTTAGCCTTTCTAGTTCCTCACTAGAAGCAGAGCATAGATAGCCACAGAGACTTTAGGATCAGGAGACATTTTTCTGCACTGTAGTCTAGCATTTGGGGCATCTGCATCTGTACAGAAGGAGAAGTGCAGCTTTGCATGAATAGGGCTGAGAGGAAGCAGCTTCCGGCAAAGCATTACAAGAGATGACTGACACTGGGTGTTGGCGCTGTGATTCAAAAGCAATGATTAGCAATGAATGATTATGTGTTGTAATAAGTAGCCCAATTACTTCCAGTCTATTTTGGTAAACACCAAAGTTCATAATAGTGTTTATTTTTATATATTAACTAATTTTTAATTGTTTCTTGGGATTTTATATCATGTATCCCAATCCCACTCATTTCCCATTCCTTCCATATCCTCCTTCCCCAGAAGATACAAAACAAAAAATAAAAAACAGAAACACTTCTCAATGACCACCTTACAATGACCCACTCCTCTGTCAATCGCTGCCTCCTCTCATGCCAGCAGAGTTGTCATGTCTCCTTTAGTCTTGCCATACATGTAACCATTCTGCTCCTCCATCTTTCCAGCCTCTCTCTCACATGTTTGTTTGCTGTTGTTGTGACATTGGAAACTGTAATGTGTCATGATGTACACCTTAAGCATGTTTTTAAAAGAAAAATAGTCATGTATTTGCAGATTTTTAAAATTATTTATTTTTGAGATAATATTACAACATTTCCCATTACTGCTCTCTTTCACATTCTTGGGCCTCTTTTTCCATTCATTGCTATCGCTATCACACACACACACACACACACACACACACACACACACACACACACTCCTAAGTACAAACTGCTCCATCTGTACATCTGTATGTTATTCATACGTATGTTCTCAGGGTTGCTAATTTGTCATTGAACAACCAATTGGTGTGCTCTTCTCCAAGAAGACTATAATGGTCTGTCCTGTCTCTTTAAGAGATAAGCCCTGGCCACTCGCTCCACCATCTGCTGAGACAAACCATCTTCATTCCCCTCTGGTCATTCCAGCCTGAGTTCCTTCCTTCCTCTCTGTCTCTGTCCTGAAGAGGCAGCTTCTGCCTCTCTCCCTTCTCCTCCCCCCTCCTCTTTCTCTCTCTCTCTCTTCGTCTCTCTCCTCATCCTCCTTCTGCCTCCCTCTGACCTTTTTCCTTCCCTTCCATAACTCACTAAATAAATACCCACTTTCTCTGCATGGCATGCCTATCTGTCTGTCTGTCTCTCACTTGCCATGTGGCTCCCTACCTAGGACCCGCTGGCCCTCATGGGATCAGTGCCAATTTACTTTTACCAGAACAAAGACTATTTCTCCCACTCAGTTATTCATTAGTTGCCTGGAGTTCTTTGCATAGGGTTTAAGCTCTGTGAGCTTTCCCCTGTCCACTTAAGCATGTCTGTTGTTATCCTTGTTCCGCTTCTTGTTTTTTTTAAGGGTCACCATTTTAATTATGCTGCTTTTTTCTCCTGGTAAATGCCTCCCAGAAGAATGTCTAGAGAATACTTTTGTAAGAAAGTACAACTGACACCCAGGCAGATAAAGGCTCTCTTGCTGAGTGAATTCAAGATGGGCTCTTAGAAACTCAGAGGAACTTACCCTGTCTTCACATGATCCTTGCATTGGTGTCATAGACTTTGATTTTTAGATCCTATTAGCCGCCCCCTCACCCCGCGACCCTCACAGAGGTGTAAGCCACAAACGTCCACCACCTTCTGATTGGTAGGCCCAGAGCCAATCTGAATCACCTAACTACAGAACTTCCTAAAAGACTGAAAAGGTGTCACCGTGGAAAGTTCCTAAATTCTTCTTTCCATGTTACATTATAACTTTCCATTACATTATAACATATGGGAGTCTGAAGCTGTCTCTTTGTGGTTTTCCCCTTTAAAACTGGCTGCTGCCCCTGCATCAGGACCCAGTCTCAAGTTTGAACCCTGTCACCTCCCTGATACCATTTTTCTAAATAAACTTTTGGCTTACTTGAACCAGGTCTTCTGTGGTGGATTAGTTGCAGATTCTCTGACTCTACCATGACATCACATGCTTTGAAGGCTGGAAAAGACAAGTCTCAGAGGCCTGGACATGTGACTTTCCAAGCTCTATAATGGTCTTCCAAATAGGAGTACAATGCAGTACAAAGTGTTAAGATTTTCGATGTTTTATACCAAAACAGATGAGCCAGCATACAAGCTAAAAATTAAGGGTAAAGGTTTGGTAAAGAAAGCTTGTATTACATTCTAAACAGCTCGTTTCCTGAAATATGTTTTCTTTAGGACGGCCAACAATCCAGTTAGTAATGAATCAAAATTAAACCAAATCTTCAAATCCCTGTCAAAACATCAAACTAAAACACACACAAAACAAAGTACATAAATTTTTGCAGTACAAACATGCTTATTCCTAGTTTTAAAGCCTTCTAAAGAATTTGTATGTTTTATGGCATTTGTATATCATGTGTATATTTGTATAACAGTCAACATATCATCATGTGATCAACTTTGAGGATGCAAGCCAAAAGCTAGGTTGCTAAGCAAAACAGTCGTGTATGCCCCAGCAATAGCTGTAATCCCTGGCTTTGCCTCTGGTTAATTTTCAAAGTTAAATTCCAACTTTCAAAGCTGTTCTTTCAAACACACAAAACACAAAGGTAACACATAGTGACCTCGGAAAACAAACTAGTCCTGAAAGGGGGCGAAGTCATCCACACTGTGCTGAGGCACTAAACCCTAGCTTTGTCCTCAAACCCAGGTACAGGTGTCAGCAGACCGCCCCTCAGTCCTGTAGGAGGCTGCTTGGCCAGTCCCCTCCCATGTGCCACTCTGGGTAGCGTGAGTCAGACTGTTGGGGCCTGTTCATTATACTCTGAGTCACGCGAGGGAGCCTTGCCCCAGATCAAGGCGGACTTTAATTGTCCACAAAGCAGGATTAGAAGAAGCCGCAGCCGCAGTTAATCACTAAGGTAGGAGCTGTGGGAGGCTCTCACACCCCCAGGTTCCCGAAACAGAAAACTGCTCTGCGGAGCCGGGAGGGAGAGGCCCCGCGGGAGAAGGCAGATCCCGCCAAAGGAAAGGCAAGAGCCCGGGAGCTGGCGAGGACGCCAAGACAGCAGGTAAGGACGGCGAGGGGCTGCAGGGTCACGTGAGTCCAAGCCTGGGCAGCCCGCCTCGGGCGAGTCTCGCAGAGCGCAGGCGCATTCTGGGTCCGGCGCCTACTTCCGGGTGGGCGTGTTTCCCAGGCACGCAGAGGCTGCTTTCCAGACATTTGCGGGCTCATGACACTGTTGCGACCCCAAATCCTGGGCTTTAATGCCTGGCAGCGGGCGCTGGAGCGTCTACATCCGCGAAAGAAAGAAGCTGCGGGTGCAGAAAAAAAATGCTAGGGAGTGACCTGCTAGGAGCCAGAAATTTTCGTGGAGCCTCAGGCTAGTTTGGAGTGTTGGGTCCATCCCACGCTGGGTGGAAAAAATTCCTCTCTGTTCCTCATTTACTGTCAGTACTGTTCTCCTTCCTCTCTCTCACCTCACACAGTTTTCCACTGAACTGCCCCCTCCCAACATTTTCTTACCTTCCTTTTATCTTTCTTTCATTGACTGCTTCTTGTCAACATAAAACAAAGCTTCTTCATCCCAGCGGCCCCCCACCCCCACCCGGCATTCTCCCTGCCTGTGTAATGTTCTTCAGCTGAGCGCCCCACTTTCTAGATTCTCTTCAGCTCTCAGGCACCTGCCCTACAGCCATGCACTGCAGGCCTTGGAGAGCTGTTTGTCCCATGTCAAGGTTGTGCGTCCACCTATGCTGGGGTTGGTAGACCACACAGGCATATCCTCCAGGTTCTCCTGATCAGCCCTTTCTGAGGTCACGATTTCATTCTATTTTCTTCCTCCCTCTCTCCCTCCCTCTGTCTGTTATATAACCTTCAAATATTGGACATACCCTAGAATAAGGTGGATTTCTCTTTGAAAATTTCATCTGTTAACATAAGCTGGAGTCAGGATGTCCAAAGCCTCTAATTCTTGCTCTGGAATGTTCGTCTGTTTTTTGCTCTACATTTCCAAACTGCAGTGGCTGCCATCTTACAGCTTCGGATGACTTGATAGGTCCCACACTTCCCAAATGGAACACCTTCCCCATTCCAAGCTAGTTCTTCATAGGCACTTCCTATGCCTCTTGACCTAAATATGCATTTTGCAGGGAGCTTCACACTGATCCTTGCCTCCTCCCTCTTTCCTAATTCATAACAACCAATCTACCTGAAAATACCTATTTCTCCCGTCAGGGTCTCATCTATATCAACTGTCAGTGGTCCACGATAGTGGCCTACTCACAGACTCCCTAGCCCCTTTCTATTCCAAATAGTGAGCTGTGTCATTTTCCTAAGACCTTATATCTACATATAACACTTTGTTAGAAGTGTTTGGCTTCTAGGCCCTAGCTCATGTTTAGACTCATAAATTAGGCAAAAGAGATCCATTTTATCTCCCCCTGGTGTCTCACAGAATTCCAAACAGACCAGTCCCCAGAATGCCACACAAGCATGATCTGCCTACTTTTTTGTGTGTGTGTGCCTGCCAGTTTCTCAGACTGAAATTCCCCCTTAGTATCCCCTCCAGAATTCCTGCTCACATTTTCAGAGGCAGCGTCTTTGAGATCGCTACATGGGATTCTATTAAATCATTTCCACTACTGGTGGGATTCCTTGGCACAGAAACCTTGACAAATTATCTGCTTTAGAGAATCAGGCATTTCATTGTTTCTGTGGTCAGGGATTTGACAACTATTTTTGTTGTTGTTGTTTTCTCCAGACATTTGTCGATTTTTGTCGACTCTTGCAGATCTGTGTCTGTGAGACCTGGGATCCGAGGACCTGAAAGAATGGGGCAGACTACAGTCTAATGCAGACGACTTTAATTGTGTGTGTGTGTCCTGTATAACAAAGAAAGCAACGATTCGAGGGAGGTTGTTCAGAAAACATGATCAGAAAAATATAAATAAATGCCAGCAAGCACATACTAAACATTAATAGAACTTTCTCAAGACAGACCAATTGAAACACAATTACCTGGCATGCACTATAGATTATATCTGGGAAACCAGGAAAGCAAGGCAGAGGTCATATCTAGATTCAGAGTACACTGAAGACGGCAGTCAGCGTGTCCTGTCATCAGATTGGGTCCTATACTATGTTCCAACATCTACCAAGAATTAACACACCCTATAAATGGAACGTAAATATTTAATACAGGAGCCAAGAAATCACATCCAAGAACTATCCAGGGGAAAACTGCACTTGAGGCAAAAGGCCCTCTTCCTTTTCTTCTGGAGCCTGTCTCACAGTTCCTGGGGCATTGTTCCCCATGGGTCGTTCTTTTGACGTGTTCTGACAGACATGACAGGAGACAACAGCACAAATGCCCCCTGAATGTTTGCATTGGGAGATTGTGGAGAAATGGAGTGTTTCATGCTCCCAGCGGAAGAATGGTGTCACACACTCAGAAGCAGAGGGCTTGGTTTTCAGGGTGTTACTTCTGTGAATCCTCTGAACATTATTTAATTGTCATTCTTATTTCTTCACTTGTAAAAATGAAAATTAACTGAACGCTAATTCATTTATGTGCCAGTCTAGCTGCAGAATGAACCCTAAAGGTATTATTTAGTATTTTACTGAAAATAATTTTACTTTAGATTTATTAGGCAAAGTTCATTTTGCTTGACCTTCCAACTTTCTCAAAAGCTTCTTGTGTAACTAAGATTGAGACAAGAAAACAAGGACAGAGTCTTTTGTCACCTAGCGCCTGTCCTGGATTAACTTTTGTCATAAGTAGGACCATGCTTTTCATATGTATGTGTGTGTTATGAACATGTGTGCATGCAAATGTGTTTACACATGTCAGTGGGTGTGTGCATGTGAGTGCGTTTACATGTGTGTGTGATCATGTGCTCACTAAACTGTGGTATGTTGTTGCCTACTGCCTGGGTGCTACAAAGGAATGGGGTCAAGGAAGTGAGATGAAGAAAGGAGGCATGAAAGGAACCAGAATTAGGAGTTTGTAATTAGGAGCAATTATATGTAAAGTAGCTGTGTTTATTCTCTTGGCCTGTTCAGACAAGGTGAAACACACCCCCCCCACACACACTCACATGTGCACACACCCCAAGGTTTTATCCTAAGTTAGAATCAAATCAGAATTTAGTCATGTTTTATCAGACTTTGTTTTCTTTTTCTTAGAGTTTCGTTGGCGCCACCTTGTGGTTGATGAAATTTGTGCAATTTGTTTAGGCCTGGGTCTTCTGAAAAGTCAAGAGTAAGGTGAGGCTGTGGGGACAAATGTTGCCTGGAGACGAGGTAGATCCTGCTCTACTGGGGCGTGCCCATGGCATGCCATGCCACCTGATACTTGTAGTCTTTGATGGCAAGTCCTAGAGAGGTTTTATAATGTGGTGACCCAGAAGAACTTCACATTTTGCTCTATAAACATGCCTTCTCTTAAAAACTGCCTGGGTAGGGGGAGTTTATACAAAAACTTGAGCAATGGAGAAAATTCCCCAGTCTGAGCTATCAGCTCCCTACTTTTTATTGCGTCTGAGAGATACAAGTGGCCATCAAGTCCTTGGACATCAATAAAGTATGAGTGCAAAGCTACTGTATGTGACATTCTGAGTTCATGATCTGTCTACACAGGGAAATGAACATGTGCATGGCCATAAGCTCTAGGTAAAGTTTCTAGTGTTTGCCATATTGTGGTTTTTTTTTTTCTGTTGTTAATTTTCCAAATTAGGACATAATCTTCTTGTAGGGTTTAAAAGTTCCAGTTAAAATTATGTGTGCATATGGGAGGAAAGATAGCATATTATAGAAACAGCTTTTAGGTGTAGAGAGAAGTTTCTGTCCCACCCAATGCTGCTAGGCCAGACCTAGACTGGGGTATTACTGTTTCCAGAATCAGGTTAATAGGACTCAACTGGGTAGCCACATTTCAATGGATGACTTTGTGGTTCTTGGGCATGTGTGGGTATAAAATTGGCTGGAGGCAGTTAATTTACATTTCAAAGGGCAAAGACCTTAATAATGACAAGATTTCTAAAGTAAAAGCTTTGGGAGGAAGGAAGTCAGGACTCTAAGCAGGAGGAAATCTGTTTCCTTTGCATATTTGGCCAAAGTTAGCTTCATTTCTTTTTAGTAAAGCTGAAGGAAAGGCATTCTGGCCAGAACAGATCAAAATCATTGCTTCTAGGTTTGGGTTTCGTGTGAAATAAACCCTGTCCCCACACACCCTCTTTGCAGGTTGCCACACCAATCTCAAGAGATATTGTGGAAAATGTTGTATCTTTTTGGAGTCACACTGATTCACATAAATTTTTCATCTCTAACAGTCCACATTTCAGGTTACACTATCCTAAATAGAGCCTCCAAAACTGGTGAATTTTTATCCTCCCAGTTTTTACTTTTTGTGGTAATAGAAATACACTGTGTATCTGCAGAAAATTAGTTATTATTCTTAGAAATTTTTAAAATAATTATATTAAAGACATCACACTGAAGGAGAAAATAGCAGTAGTCTGTTTTGTTTTGTTCTGTTTGTGTGTGATGACTAGTCAGGACAGGCTCTGCAATCCAGGAGTTCCAGTCTCTAGTGACTCAGTGGAGTTCCGGAAGGGTCATCCACATCCTGCTCAGCCTTCCAGTCCCTCCCTTCTTGAAGAAATTTCTTTATTAACCTCATGTTTTATTGGGGCTTAAGAGGCAATGCTAAGAACAGTGGCTGGCAGTATACCCCAGGGGCTACTTAATAAGGGACTTACTGTTAGAGGGAGAGATTAAACAAATTTTGGAGGTTGTCTGAGCCACTTTTTTGGAGAGTCCTATGTTCATGGGCCACATGAACATTGGTTACATTTGTATATATGTGGGGGGTGGAGAGATTTGATTTTGATTTCATATTGGGTGTATACTATTTTTGTAAGACAAGGATTGATGGAGGCAGTGTGGACATGGATGGAAGAAGGTGGGCATCTTCAGGACCAGAAATCCTTTAATTAGAACAGCTGAAGTGCTGCAGAACTGAAACTGTATGTGTGGATGTAGCACGGTGGGGTGGGGGCTTACAAGATGGAAAAGCAGAAACTTTGGTGATGGAGATTCCATGTGCATGTCAGTTCCCCTAAGTCTGGAAGTGGTGATGCCACCAGGTTTGGCATGTGGATCTCCTCAGCAAAGGCTTCCACATGTGAGGTCAGTCAAGTCAGCTTTCCAGTCCAGAGCTTCTCTTAGGCTGCTAACCCTTCAATTTTCCTACAGGCCTAGTGACTGCTCAGGACACAAATTCATCATCTCCCAGTCCTAGAGGTCCAAATTCAGTAGTTGTATAGCAGAGCCGGGTACCCTGCTCTCACCAAGGGCCCCAGGGAGAATTTTGGATTTGTTTTCCGTTTCCAAGTTCTTGAGGTGGCCACATTGGTGGTCTCCCATCACAGGGACCTCTGCCTGCGTCTCTGTTCCTTACCCCGACCTTCCTACTTCTCTCTGTTCTAAGAGCATTTGAAAGTTTATTACACTTTCCTTAATACTGTAGGTTAGTGTTAATGTCTAAAATCCTTAATTAAATACCATAGTAATGTACTTATTGCTAAGGAATATAATAAAATAGCATTTACAGGGCTTAGGCGTAGGACTGGGTATCTTTGAGGTACAGACAGATATTTTATCTGATATGCCTAGTGTCCTCTGATGGAGACCCTGGTGACCATGTGACTACAGAAATCCTCTGTTGATGTATTTCTGTTCTGTGCCTTCAGTCTAGACCTCTCAAATGGATGACCTCTGTGAAGCCAATGGCTCTTTTGCCATCAGCCTATTAAAAGTATTGGGTGAAGAAGACAAGTCACGAAACCTGTTTTTCTGTCCCCTGAGTGTCTCCTCTGCTCTGGCCATGGTCTACTTGGGAGCCAAAGGAAACACTGCAGCGCAAATGTCCCAGGTATGCTTATTGGAAGTTGCAGGAAGGGGTGTGTGGGAGACAAACAGCAGGTTGGTTTTGGCTCCCTACACCAGGGGTTCTTTCTGTATCTTCAGCCAGTGGGCAGAAGTCAGTGGCTGATGGTGCAGGAGAGACACTGTAGTGTTTCAGATGTGGACCAGCACAGGAGGAAGGCAGTCGTGTGGGATCAGTCATCTCCACAGTTTACAGGAGACATTGAGTGTTAAATTCCTTTATCTATATAAAAGTGATCAAACATTCTGGTAAATTCACTTGCAGAAAATTGTATTTAGAGTCCTGACCCACACAAAGGAACAAGGTGCACCCATCTTTGTTACCTCCTAGTTTTTGAAGTGTTATGTTTTAAAGAGTCATGCAGCTGTGTAAGTAAGCTTCTGTGGGATGGGTGACTTTGCCGAAGAAAATGAACGTAAGTGTGGAATTAGTTCCTTGGGAATCATTTAGAGGGAACACATAATCTGCCAGCTCTCAAATAGTTGTCTACATCTTTATCTGCAAACGACACAATCGTGATAGTTTGGAGACATACTTTCAACCATGGAGAAAAGCATCACATAAGTCACCATGTGGATATCTCTTGGCCACTAGCATGGTAGTGTGTGGATGTGCAACCAGGGACCACATCTGAGATCTTTTCACCGACCTCTCTGGGGAAGAAACCTTGAGAGTGAGATTTGGTCGGAGTCATACACTCACTATGATTTGATATGTAAATCATAATTTGATTTGGAAAATAAGAAATTTTGAAAGCTTCTTCCTTTTTATTTCTGCTGTTTTATTCTTGTATTCCCTGGTTTTTAGATTCACTCCTGCTGTCTAATTTCTGTGTTGTGCATCTATCCTGGGTTATCATATGATGCCTTTCTAGGATGGATGATTCCTGCAGACCAGGGACTCTCACCCAAAGAGGGCATTTTGCTTCCCCAGAGACAGGTCCTGAGGGCTCAGTACTTTAGTTCTCAGAGCAGAGAGGTGCTACTGCCATCTAGTGGGCAGAGGCCACAAATGCTGCCAATGTCCTACAAAGCACTGGGCAGCCCCATCACAGCTTCAGACGGCAAACATGCTGGCCTTAAACCTACTGAGACAGTCACCCTGGACTCCTTGTACTGCAGGAACATGTCACATTGTCATCTCTTAGCTGGGTTTGTGTGCAGAAGGGGAGATAATGACCATGTTCAACAGTCTATTTATTTTACCCCTAGGTACTTGGTTTGAACAAAGGTAGAGATGTTCACCAAGGTTTCCAGACCCTTCTCACAGAAGTTAACAAAACTGACACCCAGTACTTGCTAAAAAGTGCCTGCCGACTTTTTGGAGAAGAATCATGTGATTTCCTTTCGGTACGTTGTACTCAGACCTTGAGGAAAAAAAGTTGAAAACGATAACAATGATGAAAATTGAAGAAAAGCAGGCAGCAAAGTCCAATGGTTTCACCATAGAAATGTGCTTAGAATTACACTTGTGACACTGTAATTGTGGATTTTAGGATTGCTTTTGAATTATGTCCTCTCAAGTTTTTTTCCTGACAAATCCTTCCATGAAGTCGAAGTCAATCTATCATCCTCTTGTACCCAGATAAATATCCTCATGCGTTCTCCCTCCCCTTGGGTGACCATGTCGTTCACCACGTTGTGTAGAGCCCCTCCCCACCCTACCTGTGCTTTGGGGGCTGAGTGTTGTTGAGACAACTGCTCAAGGTCTCTAAGATCTACTTTGTCTTCTAAATCACCACTGTTGAATAGATTCTGATGGGTTGGTTGTGGGCTGTGGTTTCCACATTATTTTTTTCAGCTGCTTGGTAAAGCTTTATTTTCTTTTTTTGCTTACAGGTGATAAGTAACCACTTTTTAAAATGTTTTATGTAGCCTAGTGTTTTTTTTTTAATTTTTCCATTCAAAAATTTATCCGTCCTCCCCTTCTCCCATTCCCCTCTCTCTCCCCAACTCACCCTCCTTTCTTCTCATCCCTCCTTAAGAGAGGGCAGGGAACCCTGCCCTGTGGGGAGTCCAAGGCCCCCCCAGTTCTATCCAGGCCTAGGAAGGTATGCATCCAAATAGACTAGGGTCCCCAAAAACCAGCACATGCAGTAGAAACAGGTCCCAGTGCCATTAATGGGTCTTTTGTGCCTGCATTGGTCATTTCCAGTTTCACCAACCACTGAAAAAAATAGTCTAAGATAAAAATGTCTTCCTGCTTAAGCATATAATTCCAAATTCACAGTCCGCTATAATAAGTGAGGTCTGACAGTCATGTCGCATAATGTGCGGACTGTCACTGGCATGAAATTAGGGAAATGAATGGTGCAAGCTTGACCATTTTATTGTCTGAAAGTTCTGAGTGTTCTGACATAAGGCTCAGGAGCACACTGTCCTGGCTATGGTTAATTCTGTCCCTCTTGGCTTGCTGCTTTAGTCTTATCTGTCACTAGAGATGACTCTGTATCCCAGGGTTCTTCTAATGAAGTCATGTTCACTTTGAACATCAGCTTTACTTATTGGTGGCACAATAACTCACAGGCTACATTTCTTCTGTATATGGGCTCTAAAACATTTTAGGTATTGAACAGAGAGTGAAGTTAATCACTACATATGTATCTGAAAAAAACATTTTTGTAGGGAAGTTATCTGGGTTATATTGTGCTAGGGAATCTCCTAATTTAACTTCCACTTATATTTGACTTTGCAGATATAAACAAATGTACATAGAGGCTCCCATACACAAATGCACTCATTCATATCCATATATTTAATGAGGATCCATGATCCCCACTATCTTGTGCTACTTCCAAGGACCTCTCTTTGTTCCCTATAATCCAATGGTTGGCTCTCAACCTTCCTAATATTGTGACCCTTTCATCCAGTTCCTCATGTTGTGGTGACCCCAACTACAAAAGTATTTTTATTGCTGCTTCATAACTGTCATTTTGCTACTGTTATGAATCATAATGTAAATAATTTTGGAAACAGAAGTTTGTTAAAGATTGAGAACTGCCCAGTCATTGTGTTCCAGACATAAACATTCTGGTTACTTTCTTGTCTACTTTTAAGTTTACATTCTAGTTCTTGACAATGTAATAAGTAGAAAATTGTGAGTGCCTGCCAGGTGGGAAAACAGAAAATCAAAAAAAGTCATCTTGGCATGTCTGGAAGAGACATTTCTGTGCTTTGTGCATGGATGACAATAGTCCTAACCTGGCATAAGTGTCTTTGTGTACAGGGTATCCTGTTAACAGGCCATGGGCCACTCATTGTGTACAGAGTATTCTGTTAACAGGACATGGGCCACCCATTGTGCACAGGGTGTCCTCTTAACAGGCTACATGCTACCCAGTCAGATGCATCTTTTCACCTGGCATCCAGTATTTCTCCCAGCACTGGGCAGTGTAGGAGATCCACATCTTTTTGAAAATTACATGACTACATCTTGAAATACAGCACTACCTCCACAGACCCTTATGCTAGAGAAAATGTTAAGAAAAAACATTTGTTCCCCCAATTGTGAGAAACTTAGCTGAACAGACTCCAACCCCTGTTTGTGCCCGTAGACCTTCAAGGATTCCTGCCAGAAGTTCTATCAGGCAGAGCTGGAAGAGCTGTCCTTTGCTGAGGACACTGAAGAGTGCAGGAAACACATCAACAACTGGGTGATGGAAAAGACGGAAGGTAGGAGGCTTTGGTTTAGGTGGACTTTGGAGTTAGGAGGGACAGTGAGCTCTGTGGAAGACTGGGCAGGGTCTTCCACGGCGTTGCTCCTATGACCTAGAGTTACAATGATGTGTGTCCTGGGCTTTCCTTGGGGCTACCAGATTGTAAAATTTAAAAAGTGACCTAAAGTTGAGTCTCAGACTGCTTCCCTTAAAACTGTGCTGGAAAGTCCCTGGTATCCCTGGTAAATGCTTCTTTTGTGTTCCCTGGTAATGTTCTGTTAGGGAAAATCCTGCTGTTCTCTGAAACAGAAGAATCTTCTCTTGGGATGAAGTTTAGATGGTGTATCAGTTAGAGTTGGCCCATTCCCTACCTGTTGGAATCCGAGCAGTTCATCAGTTCACCTGCAGCCTTCATCCTCCTCTTAATGTGGTGGCCTCCTCCTTCTCCTAGCAAGATGAGAGGAACCACAGTTGTTTCAAAACATGAATCTTTTTCAAATTTGCTCTAGAAAATTGTTGTCTTGATACTATTGGGGTTGTAACATTCACAAACTTGATTTCTTCCTTTCCTCCTCATGAAATATTCTGGCCTACTCTTGATTTGAATATTGAGTAAAAAAGGGCACCCTAAATAACAAGCAAGAAACATAGAGACTTCTAAGATGTGGAGACATTAAAAGTCATTTACTTGTTCCAGTGACAATCTAGAACCTAGTATCTAATACATTTAATTGATATGATACTCTCACCATATTTCAATTAGCAGTGATTCCCTGATCACACTACAAACCGGTCAGACCGTGAGTCCAGGAGGGAAGAGCCTCCCATAGGCTAGTGGGCTCTGGCGTGCCTGTGGATGTCAGTACGTCAGCAGAAGCGGTCTCAGAAGTTTGCCTTTTGTGTACAATCACTTCTCTTTCTCTCTTCACATCTTCCATGTAGGTTGACCCCAGAACAGTTTGCTTTTCCAGAATAGTTGAGCTGAAGGCTGTCTTTAAGATCATCTTGTCCCATTAATTGGTCATTGAACTTGAGCCCTTTATCCTGCTTCCATAGTTTTTTTCTCTGGCTTACTTTTTTGATAGCCTTCCTTCCTTCATATATACCTACATATACCTACACACACACACGCACGCACATATATACCCACACATCTATGCATATATACATACATTTATACATATATGTGTGTGAATATATACCTGTATATATTACAGGTATATATTTCTGAACTTTTGGAAATTAGTACTAAGTAGTGATTCTTAACCAGGACTGGATTTACCTTCCAATTGTCACTTGACAGTATCTGAGGGTATTTGTGTCAATTGAAATTGACTCAGGTATCACTAACTAAATCCTTTACCATGCGCAGTGGAGTTGTACCCAACCAAGAAGTAATCCAAGTAAAATGCCCATAGTAATGTAATTGTGATCTTGTAGTACTAAGGCCAAGAGGGCATTGTTAGAATCAAAGATATTGGCTTATTTTCTTAGTGTAGCCAACTGCTACCTCTGTGAATTGAGCAGGAGTTCAGGAAAACGCTCTCATCCGGAACTGATAAACACACAAACTCAATGATAAACCAGAGCAGCCATACCTGCTTTCAAACTTCTCTCTATACAGGGCATGTTGGCACATATCTGATACATCAGCACTAGTGAGGCTGAAGAAGGAAGACTGCATGTTTTATGGTAGCTTCTACTGTGTAACAAGGTTGAAGCCAGTCTATGTGATGCCAAAGACTTATGAGGAAAAGAAACATGGTTATTGTTTAAGGACAAATGATGCATTGGACAGGACTGAAGTCTAGTTCTCTACGTAATCTGGCCTTTAAATTTTATGTCAGGATAATTGATTATAGGAGAATGCTTATCACCATCCTTGTCTCAGACTCACAATAAACTTTTCTTACAGTCTTCTTCTTCTTTTAAACGTTTTTTTTTTTTTATTACATTCTCTACAGGTAAAATTTCAGAAGTTCTGAGTCCTGGAACAATCTGCCCACTGACTAAGCTTGTTCTCGTGAATGCCATGTATTTCAAAGGAAAGTGGAAGGCTCAGTTTGACAGAAAGTACACAAGGGGCATGCCATTTAAAACTAACCAGGTAGGGCAGTATTTTTCAATGTATTGTTATTTTTTTAAAGTAGTAAGCTGGAAAGATGGTGGGTGAGTAAAGGAACAGTTTATTTTACACTATCGATTCTTATCCTATTTCTGAATTAAATTAACACCTCTTCTATATCTTTAATTAGAGGTAGAAAGAAAAACTACAATAATGTGTACACTGATAGTTATTTTTTTCTTTACTCATCCATGATCAATTCCTTCTTACCTTAAATATGAAGTGGAATTTTACTTCTGTCAGTTTAACCATAGCAGGTTACACAAATGTGTGATTTTACCTAGTGATACCTCATCCAATGAACATAAGCCCATTCAACACTGCAACGGGCTCAGGAAGATTTTACATTTAACAGACTAAGTGCACAGAAATATTAATCATCTTAGACTCTTCTGAGTCCCAAGAGTCGGATATAACTTGTTTTTAGTAAATTATATTTATCATTTTAGAAATTTAATTTTAATTTCATTTTCATCAGGAGAAAAAAACAGTGCAGATGATGTTCAAGCATGCAAAGTTTACGATGGGGCGTGTGGATGAGGTGAACATGCAGGTCCTGGTTCTGCCCTATGCAGAGGAGGAGCTGTGCATGGCTGTTCTGCTTCCTGATGAAAACACTGATCTGGCTGTGGTGAGTTCTGGGCACAGAGTGTCTGTGCACGCCAGCTGAGCTCATTTTCTAGGTCCGTCTCTCAGCTGCATTTGCAGACTTTCCAGCTAAGGGTTACTCTAAGTAGTGCTCGATGAGCACGCAGGTGTTCCCTTCAGTGAACAGGTGTATGCATTTCTTTTCATGTTTATCCAGAAGTAGACAAGTTTTGAAGAAGTTAGGATGAGAATGTTCCAAAAATATAACAGCATGTTTTTAATTGAGGAGGGTGAGGCTACTTGGTAGGCCAATCATTCTTCAGCAAAGATCCTGGAAGAAGGATAGCATTGGATGGTGGCAGAGTTTCCCACATATTATGTGCTTAGGAAAACCTTTTGTAATATTTTCAGAAATGCAGGTTGTAATTCAGCTTGAAATTTTGCATTTCTAACAAGTTTTCAGACGAGGCAAGTGCAGTTGACTCACGGAGCACACCTTGAACACAAAGACCTAAAGTATGGGTCTGTGGTTTAATTTAATCCTCTTCACAACAGCAAAGGAATAAAATCCATTAAACAGAGACTTAGAAAGTAGAAGGTGTATGGCCAGCAGTGTTCTGGTAAGCCAGCTCTCTGCTGGCAAAGCTCCTGCCCACCATGGGAGGGCACAGGGTAGATGGTAAGGACACTTGATTTCATTGTTTTTTTTTTTCTATGTAATCAGAAAGCTTTGGGCATAAGTTAAGAATGAGAATACCATAGCCTTGTGAGAAGAAATTTAGATAATTCTAGAAATAGAAACAAAGTCAAATGGCTGTCACTCCTCACTAAGTAAAGGAATGAAGAAATGCAAGTGACAGTAGCCAACTGTCCTCCTAATTTAAAAAATTGACCCTTTGTCATTTCAGGTAGAAAAAGCACTTACCTATGAGAAGTTCAGAGCTTGGACAAACCCAGAAAACATGACAGAAAGTAAAGTCCAAGTTTTTCTCCCCAGATTAAAGCTGGAGGAGAGTTATGACCTGGAATCTTTTCTTCAAAGTTTGGGAATGACAGATGCCTTTGAGGAAACAAAGGCTGATTTTTCTGGAATGGCAACTCAGAAGAATGTGCCTGTGTCCAAGGTTGCCCACAAGTGCTTTGTTGAGGTCAATGAGGAAGGCACAGAAGCAGCAGCAACCACCGCTGTGATCAGGAATGCCCGGAGCTGTAGAGTAGAGCCAAGATTTTGTGCTGACCACCCATTCCTTTTCTTCATCTGGCACCACAAAACCAGCAGCATCTTGTTCTGTGGCAGGTTCTCTTCTCCATAAAGGCATTATCGTGGGGTGAGGATGCATCTCAGTTGGTAGAGCGCTTGCATAACAAGCACCACGCCCTGGGGTCAACCCTAAGTACCCTATAAAAGCAGGTGTGATGGTGCCTTCCTGCTATCCTAGCATTTGGGAGGTACAGGGCCGGAGGATCAGTCCAGAAGTCATCCTCAGCTACGTAGAAAACTTGAGGCTAGCCTTTTGATACCTGTTTCAAAAAGACAAGAAAGTGTAACATGTGATTGCTTTACATATCATTTTTTGCCACATGCCAGAATTAAAATCCCATGTTTCCAGATTGGCAAGGTGGTTTCACTGCACAAATAAAGAGTATACTTAGTAGTTGGTGAATATCTTTGCTGACAGTTCTAATGCCATGTGTGGAAGCTTGGAGCTGAGAAGGCCATACTTGGTTTGTAGTATCTAAGTAGCTTCTGATTGTCTCCAGCCTTCTTTACAACCCAGCTCCCAAAGTGCTATCCCACGCTGCTAGCATCTTCACCACTGCCAGTCTTACCAGGCAATGCCAGTTGAAGGTCCCCATTACAGCTACAGAATAACTGCTGTAACTGTCCCCTGTCTCACATCTCTCATTCCATCAGTGTTACTGTACAGTCCTGTAAGTCCATCGTTTAGACAACTCTTCCCACAAGTTTCAAGTACAAGTTCAAGGCCTTGGCCTGGAGAGAAGGCTCAGCGGTTCAGAGGACTGACTGCTTTTACAGAGGACCCAGGTTCAATTCCCATCACCCACATGGCAACTCTCACAACTGTCTGTAACTCTAGTTCCAGGGGATCTGACACCCTCACAACAGTGTACATAAAATGAAATAAATTTAAAGAAAAGAAGAAATAAGTTCAGTAAGTAAGTTTCAGGAAGTAGTTAAGAGACAAAGTTCTAAAGTGTGGTGGTCATCTCCCCCAGTTCTTTCTGAAGTTCCACAGTGTGGGTGGTCCTTATCTCCCCACCAGTACTTTCTAATGCACACAACCCCAAAGGAAGCTTCACACTGAACAATTCTTACAAAGCAGATGTCTAATTAACCATATTCTCAGATGTGAATCAAATGCATCCCTGATGCCCTAAGTGTACATACATTCAAACACCACTAAATGAATCCAACAAGTTGTATTTATAAATGTATGTGTGTAACAATTAAATGAATCTGAGAGTGAGTGAGGGGGACCCAAGAGGAGTCGGGTGAGGATGAGGGGGAATCTGAGCAGAATGCTAAATAATTGAATAGAACAGGAATAACAAAGTAGAGTTCAGTAAGTTCTGAAACATGCATGTACCCATGATGGCATCTACATACTTAAGACACAGAACAGGACCATCACACCTGCAACTTTTTTTTTGTAAACTTTGTAATATCTCTTTTTCATTAAAAAATTAATTAAAATGTAATTTCATCATTTTCCTCTTCCTTCTGCTCCCTAATACTGATCCTATGTGAAAAAAAATGAAATAAAATTTATGCCCTGGCAATGCTGAAGCATGTGTGGGCAGCCTGTATATGGCGGTTCTGTTGAACTTGTCCATATTGGGTTTCATTGTCTAAGTTGATGAGGATGACTGATCAGATCTCTTTCTCAAGAGATGGTTGTTAGCCACCATGTGGTTGCTGGAAATTAAACTAAGGACAACCTTCAGAAGAACAGGCATTGCTCTTAACTTTAGACTCCTCTTCCTTTGTATTTAACCATAGTTAAATATGCGTGTATATGGGTCAACATATAAATGCAATGTGCTGAGTCCATTTAGTGTCCCCTGCATTTGTGTTTCTAGGAATGTTAGAGAACCAGTCGGGGACTCGTCCTGGATGACTCATTCTCTTTTTCTCAGAAGTAGTGAATTGTTTGTAACTCTTCATCTAAGGGTGTGGCCCCATTATATTTTCTCTATCTACATTGAGATGTCAATTCTTGTTGCAACTTTCAGGTCCTGTTTAGGTAGCCATATTGTTGAGATTTCATTGTTTAGCTTCCCTGGCATAGCTAGAAGACACAATCGCACAGCAGACTTGCTGGTCCTCTGGCTCTTACAACCTTTCTCCCCCATTTCTGTGATGTACCTTGTAACTGTGCTATCCATCTACTCAGTGTTCCCTTTCAGCCACTTACACCCACTCTCAGGTAATTACTGATTGTTTCATAATTTGTTATGGAATAATGTATCTGTCTTTTGTATTCTTATTGTCATTTACTGAAAACATTTTTAGAGTCTCCTTCATTGCCTTATACTTTACGTATTACATTATATTATATATTTCATTATACTATATATCAATAGTTTCTTTTGTTTCTACTTTATACATCATTATATAGACATAATTTGTTTATCCATTCATAATCTTATAGATATTTGCAATGTTGTCAAGGTTTGGTAACTGTAAATAAAGTTTTTAAGAACACTAATGTTCACATATTTGTTTCCTAATGCTTTTTTTGACTAATTAGGAGGTGCAGGTATAACATTTAAGAAACAGCCAAGCCACTTATGGTGACATATATATTTCATTCTAGCACTCACTAGGGGAGGCAAACGAAGGAGGATCTCTGTGAGACAGAGGCCAGCCTGGTCTCCATAGTAAGTTCTAGGCCAGCAGGAGCTACACAGTAAGACCCTGTATCAGAGAAAGAGAGACAGAGACAGAAAGAGACAGAGAGAGACAGAAAGAGAGGCAGACAGACAGTGAAAGACAGACAGAAACAGATACTGGGAGAGAGAAAGAAAGGAAGGGAGGGAGGGAAGGATGGACAAATGGACAGACAGATGGAGGGAGAGAACTTCCAAACTGTTTACACAAGTAGTTTGTTTTATTTAACATTTTCAACAATAATATAGTTGCTGTACATGCTCACCAAAATGTGGTCAACCATCATTATTCTTGTATTTATATAAAGTGTCATATGTCAGAATGGTTTTAGTTTGCATTTCTCTAAATGTTCAACATTCCCCCCATGGAATCATTTACTATCCATATATGGTCTTCGGTGAAGTATCGTAAAAATTTCTCACTCATATTATACTTGCGTATATTATCTTATTGAGAATTAAAATAAGAACAAATTATCATATATGTGGATTATACACAATTTTTTATTTGTAATTCATGTTTTGGACTTTTGTTCTCATAAAAATACTTTTAAAATTTAAAGTTTCTATTCGGGGAAGGTCATCCTCTTCGGCCGAGCACGCAGCTTTGGGAGGGACGCACATGGAGCGGTAAGGGAAGAAGGGGACACTCGCCTAGCCAGCCAGATCAGCTGAATCAACCCTGGCGATCAATGAGGTGACAGATGTCGCAGGAAGCTTCTGTAAAGCAAAGGACACTGTCATTAAGACAAAAAGGCTACCTATTGATTGGGAGAAGATCTTCACCAACCTCTCATCAGACAAAGGTCTGATCTCCAAAATATACAAAGAACTCAAGAAACTAGACACTAAAACTCTAATTAACCCTATTGAAAAATGGGGTACTGAACTGAACAGAGAATTCTCAACAGAAGAACTTCGAATGGCCAAAAGACACTTAAGGTCTTGCTCAACCTCCTTAGTGATCAGGGAAATGCAAGTCAAAACAACTTTGAGATACCATCTTACACCTGTCAGAATAGCTAAAATCAAAAACACCAATGATAGCCTATGCTGGAGAGGATGTGGAGTGAGGGGAACACTCATCCATTGTTTGTGGGAATGCAAACTTGTGCAGCCACTGTGGAAATCAGTGTGGCGATTTTTTAGGAAACTGGGAGTCAACCTCCCTCAGGACCCAGCAATTCAACTCTTAGGAATATACCCAAGAGATTCCCTATCATACTATAAAAGCATTTGCTCAACTATGTTCATAGCAGCACTATTTGTAATAGCCAGAACCTGGAAACAACCTAGGTGCCCCTCAATAGAATAATTGTTAAAGGTGTGGAACATATACACATTGGAATTTTACTCAGCGGTAAAAAACAATGACATCTTGAATTTTTCATGCAAATGGATGGAAATAGAAAATGCTTTACTGAGTGAGGTAACCCAGATCCAAAAAGAGGAATATGGTATGTACTCACTCATAGTGGATTCTAGCCATAGTTAAAGGACATTGAGCCTATAATTCGTGATCCTAGAGAAGCTAAATAAGAAGGTGAACACAAAGAAAATCATATAGTTATCCTCCTGGATATTGGAAATAGACAAGATTGCCAGGCAAAACTTGGGTGCACGGGGGTGTAGGGGGGTGGATGTAAGGGGAGATGGGTAGAGAGAAGGGAGAAGGGGAGGATTCAGGAGAGCTTGGGGGAATGTGATGGGTGGAATGGAGGAAGGGTGGATATGGGAGCAGGGAAGTAAATATCTTAATTAAAGGAGCCATTTTAGGGTTTGCAAGAGACTTGTCTTTAGAGGGGTTCTCAGGGCCAAGGAGAGGTCCCCAGATTGTTCCTTGGGCAGCAGAGGAGAGGGTGCCTGAACTGGCCTTGTCCAATAGCCACACTGATGAATATCTTGCATATCACCATAGAACCTTCATCTGGCGATGGATGGAGATAGAGACAGAGACTCACACTGGACTTAGCTCCCAAGGTCCAAATGAGGAGCAGAAGGAGGGAGAACATGAGCAAGGAAGTCAGGATCACGAGGGGTGTGTCCACCCACTGAGACGGTGGGACTGATCTAATGGAAGCTCACCAAGGCCAGCTGGACTGGGAGTGATGGAGCATGTGATCAAAATGGACGCTCTGAATGTGACTGGTAATGAAGGCTAACTGAGAAGCCAAGGACAATGGCACTGGGTTTTTATCCTGCTGCATGGACTGCCTTTGTGGGAGCCTGGTTTGTTTGGATGCTCACCTTTATAGACCTGGATGGAGGGTGGAGGACCTTGGACTTACCACAGGGCAGGGAACCCTGACTGCTCTTAAGACTAGAGAGTGAAGGTGAGGTGGGGAGGGTGAGGGAAAAGGAAGGCAGGGATGAGGTGGAAATTTTTAATAAATAAATAAATAAAATAATTATAAAAAATTTAAAGTTTCTCAATTTTAATCAAGTACCATGTTGTATTTTGTTGATGCATAATGTGTTTGCTATCATATCAAGGATCTCTTCATTTAGTCCAAAGTGTCAAAAACGAGCTATATGTCTTTCAGAAGTGTTAATAGTCTTCAATTGTAAATTTAGGGATAGGATCCATTTTGAGTTGTTTATATTGGAAGTGTTATCCTTTGTATCTAAGATTGCATTAGTGTCTGTGTTGGAAGCAAGTTAATCATGGATATGAAGTTATAGTTTTGAATGATTGTATTTCATTGATCAGCATGTCTATCTTATATCAATAACATCACAGAATTTTGATTATTATACTTAATACTGAACTCTGAAGATAAATAAGTCTTCCAACATCATGCTTATTTTTCAAAATTTTTTTGCTTAAGTTTCTTGAACTTCTTTAAATTTAAGATTTAGTTTGTCTATTTGTATCAAAATTTAATGAGGTATTTATTAGAATTGTATTGCTATTAACATAAATCTAGAGTGAGCAGACATATGTACCTTCCAATCTATGAACAAGGCATGTTTTTCCATTTTTAAGTTTTTTATCTTTGCAGTGTATTTATAGTTTTCAATTTACAGTTTTCTCACAATTACTGTTATATTTTTAATATCTTTTATCTTATGCTATTATAGTGTTACATTTTATTTTTGATTTCTGGTTATTCATTACTAGTATATAAAAATATATTTAACTCTTGATTTTCTGTTGATATGG